ATGTGTCATGTGTTATATGTTTTTAATAGAAATAACATTTTAATAAATGTAATAGATTTGATAAACTTAATTCATTCACCAAACCGTAGACTTTACATGTATGTGATTCTCCATGACAATAGACACTAGTGGAACATGCATTACTCTGGAAATAGAAGATAACCTGACGTGTATATGATTATTCCCTAACAGCTGGGGTCCATTAAACCATCAGGTTAAACGGGAGGGAATAAAAATACTTACACGAGGCCAGGAATGGCTTTTATATAACAGATGGAGAGTGTATAAGAACATATGTCTCACTGTGAGAGTATCTGCATCTGGCCTAAGACTTAATGATAGATGGATCCCACAGGGACCTACTGTACATTAGACCTCCGCTGGGAGCTGTAATAAGATATTAGGCTAAAGTTTCATACATGCACAATGGGCAGTTATACTAACATTTTGAAGAATGACAAAGCCTGACAGTGGATCCTACGGGGCAAGAATAAAAGAACCATGCTTGAATTCTGACATCATATATAGACGATATTATGACATCATAGTAGGTATCATAAAACAAGAGTTGAAGATATGTGCCTATGTGATATAAGATATTACACAATTTAATTGAAGATGACTGTTTTGATGCCCTATTTGACCTATCTAACCAATTTTTTTTTTCTTGTCTTTTAAGGTAGGATGATCAGATTTCCATGGGTTCTGAGGAGAGAACCCGATTATAGGAGACTGTCCCCAAATAAAAACTGCCCCCGATCTCAACCCCGTTTTAAAGATGGCAGTTTTATTAATGATAACCTTGGTCTAGTGGATGCGTGATAATCAGCCTGGAAACACTATTGTTATTGAATGCCGTGCCTGGAGTCCTCCTCAGGTGGAGGGTTTATATGATCCACGTGGTCCCTTTGGGCTTGTGTGGACTTACAGACAAGGGCTTGTAGGCTAGTTGTCTACTGTTAGCTAGATAGCTGGCTGCCCTAGTTGGGAGGGAAGGGTTAATGCAAGTTCTTGCACTTTTTTTTAGCTCTGCCTCTCGTGGGGGCAAGATTTAATCTCCAGTTACTTACAGAGAGATCTTTCTGCCAGGGGGCTCTCTCCACACAGCCTACAGCTTGGGTCAGTAAAGCACATTGGGGTATGAAGTGTCAACATGGTAGAGAATACAAGCAATTTATTACCAGAGGTAAAGGAAGTCTAGCATCTGGAACAAGCAACCTGTCGTGAAGAGTGTACCTGTGGCAGGTGGGATGCCCTCTAGCAGTGAGGGAGTAAATGTCAGCACTCTCTACCGGTCAGTCTCCCATAGCAATGGGGGAAGATCAGCACCGCAGAGGATCTTGACCTAACCACTAGGTACAAGAAGAGGACGATTTAATAAAGTGCCTGAATGGAGTCCATGCTAGGTGCAAGGTGGGACCCCATTCTGTTGCTGGGAGTGAGGCAACAGAGAGTTAAAGTTTACACGGTGTACAGCCATCTCTAAGTTAGAGATTCAGCTTAAGTTATCCCTGGAAGCACCTCAAGTTATCCATGAAAGCAGCCTCTGCCTTGTCCTGGGGCATTGCTGAGAATAAAACAAGTAAAGGTACCCCATGTGCAGGCGAGTGACCCATCCTCGGTGCCTAACGTAGCTCAGAAGAACTCACCCCGGGGTTGGTCTCTTATGTCACCCACATTTGGTGTAGTTAGTAGGATAAGTCCCACTTACCCTACATACTTGGTGCCCAACATAGGGCTAGGCCTACTTCATACACCTGAAGACCATCCCTAAAAAGACCATGGCATTCATTAGCTAGTTAGAACTTTTCCAGGCTTGCCCAGCAATAATGCACATGCTTAATTATGTCTGCTTCCTGATTGGATCCTGTGTCCACACAGGCAATCCTATCCAGGGATGGCTTCCTCCACTGGACCAGGGGTCAAGATGCTGCCTGCACCTCTACCTCTATCATGGGTTACAGGAAAGAAAGGCACTTGATTCCATGGGTTGCAGGAAAGAAAATTGCTAGATTCCCCATCAATGCAGTCAGTGTTTATAGGAGAATCCTTTCCACTGAGTTATTGTGCTCTCCTGGTGGGTTGAGAAGCCGTCCCTGTTGAGAGAAACACAGTGATTATTGCTAGCGGCTATAGCCACTGGTAGTAATTGCATGAAAAATCCAACAGGCTGTCGTACCCAAGTCGTACAACAATCAAGTTGAGTACCATCGGCCTGCCCATAGATAGTTTGAATCTCAGCCGATCCCTGCCTAACAAGCCAAGATTCGAACCATCTATGGCCATCTTTATTTCAAAGTTACCCACTTTACTTGATTGTCATACAAGCCCATCCTAGATGTTTGAAAGAGTATGGCCCCTACTGCACTCCTAGCCCAGAAGACCACAGTTTTGTACACCCCCCTGGCCACTGCAGCTAAAGGGGGTGTGGCTGGGGCACTGATGGTAAAAACATGTCTTAACTATGGGGTATTACCACCCCCAAACTGCAAATGTAAATGGACCCTTGCTGTTCTGATCCCCTTATAAGGTTGCTTTCACATTGATGTGCTGCAGTTTACCCGCACCACGGGTACAGTGCATCTGCGACTTCCCTGGGTTAGCTGCACTTTGCCATAGACTTCTAGTATAACCTGCAGGTGTGGTGCATTCAGGAGTTTTGGTGCACTTTCAGAAAATTAACCAAACCCACAGGATATAATAGAAGTTTATGGCTAAGCGTAGCAAACCCGCAAGAAAGCTGCAGGTACATTGCACTGTACCAGAGATGTGGGTAGCACATCAGTATGAAAGCAGCCCTATATTATTATACCCAGTGTATTGCTGTACACTGACCTGAAGAGCTCTCTTTTTTCCTGCTGCTGGCACCACTCTAGAGCCTGCTAGCCGGGATAAGAGGTGGAGTGCAGTTGGTGTCTCTCCGCATGGGACAGGAGCCGGCACTGGCATTGGCTTATGAGGCTCTTGCTCCCTACTACAGATTCAACTTTATAAGTCATCCCCCTCTGCATTCCACTCTGTTTGATGCTCTGGGATGGCGGGTCAGCAAGCCCAGACCGCGGGCGGTCTACCAGTCACCTGTCCGTGATCTACTGGTAGATTGCGATCTATGGGTTGCTGTCCCCCCGATGTAAAGTTTTCATTTCTTTGAGTTGATTAATTTTTTTGTATCATATGTAAACAATTTAAGAAAGCTTCATTGTAATTTTCTTTCAAGATCAAATCAATATTATTTTGATCGAAGGGCCCTTAAATGGAGTGGGGCCCATAGGCCAGTGCCTACTCTACCTCTTTGGTATCTGCTAATGAGGAATAGCTATGAGGTGAACTCTAGGTTTATATGAAAGACACAGGTTAATGCAGACCTGTATCCATAAATGCGCCTTTGTACGTACCTGAATTTGACCTTGTATCAGCCTCTTGCAGTGCCTGTACAGCAGAATGGAAGAGGGGAAAGCAACACAATGAGCAAATCAGTTGTACTGCAGAGCTTATGTGAAAACATAGACCATGCTGAGAGGAGGAGAGAGCAGAGTGGCAAAGAGGTGAGCTCATCAGACTTCTGCTTCTCCTTTCACTGTCCAGTCACAGGCTTGGAGAGGAACAAGACTTGCTTAACGCAGTAGAGAAAATTCAGGTTTCCTGGCCTGCCAGACAGGGATGTATTGAGTAGCAGAGATGTGTAAATGTCAAAACTGGATGAATAGAAATAGAAATCCTTAGACAAATAAGCCATTTCCCTTTTCTGTATGTATTTCAACCTGTATATTTAGCTGTTTGCCTGGAGTTCACCTTGAAGTGAGTGATGGAATACAGAGGGTTAACTTATATGAGAGCCGCCCAGCACTGAATGGGTTTTGCCAGGTTGGAGTCATGTCAGTAATTCACAGGCTTCAGCCCTGGCCGTGGGGTAATGACATCCTGATTGCATGTCCTGGCTACAAGGGAGACATCAGGATGAATTTTTATACAGTGAAAGGAGGAGATGGCGCCTCTTGTCAGCACATCACAAATACAGGAACATAATCATAAATAACTTTCAGTTAATCTGGGGAAAACAAAGACGTGATTTCAAGGTGAATGAGAGACCACCAAGAATTGATTATTACTTCAGACATAAAAGTGACGAATATCATGCGGGTGTCACAGGCCAAAGTGAACATAAAGGTGTCTTGCAGGGAACTAGATTATGAGTTCTTAATTCCTGCAAAAGAAATGTGATTAACGAAGTCCTGAGTACAACAATGATAGCGAACAGAAGCTATTTTCAGATCACATCTCCAGCATAGCTTGATGGCAAACAGAAGCCATTGAAGGATATTAACTGGCGATAAAAAAATTGATAGATGTGGGCAATCCCTGAAACAGGAACAATTTAAAGGGAACTTGCAGTGTATTTTGAGCCAGCACATATTTATTATTATTATTGCGGTGGAGATATAAAGTACAGCATTAAATTTATTTTTTAAATGGAAGCAGGATAAATAACTAACTATGTCCTAGTATCAGCATCCTGCAGTCTACTATAGCAGAGCTCAGGGAGGGGGAGCAAGAAGCAGTACAAAGAGCCAGTCTGGTGTGCTGCAGTGAAAGGAACATGCTGATAGTAGGAGAAATCCGAGTGATAGATGAGATAGGTAGGTTGCTATTGCCTTTGCTGTCCAGTCACAGGGTGGGAGTGGGGTGGAGACCTGTGAGTGAAAAAAACTGGGGCTTTGTCAGGGGCGGACTGACAACTCATGGGGCAGTAGGGGATCATGGGGCCCCTGTGTCCTTGCCCAAACTCAAAAAAGCCTATGAAAAAGGTACCAGGGGCATCTCATGGGGCCCCCTACTGACCCTGGGCCCTCGGGCAGTGCCTGAGTTTCCAAATGGTCAGTCCGCCCCTGGGCTGTGTTGATGGGCAGACCTGTGTAAAATTTCAGGACTGCATAGAAATACAAAGCCTCTGAAATGTAAAATTGCTCTCTTTTTTGTATTGTATCCAGGGGCGGACTGACGATTTGGGGCCCGGGGTCAGTAGGATGCCCCATGAGATGCCCCTGGTACCTTTTTCATAGGCTTTTTTGAGTTTGGGCAAGGACACAGGGGCCCCATGATCCCCTATTGCCCGGGGGCCCCATGAGTTGTCAGTCCGCCCCTGATTGTATCCGTGTGTTTAGCTGTTTGTCTGGAGTTCACCTTTACAAGAAAAGTATGACCAAAGCTTTTTTAGTCAAACGTCTCTTATGCGTCAGAGGAGTGCACTTACTTTTGCACTCCTGTGACTCAGAATCAGCTGACAGCAGGCTAAAAGCTTGCTGTCTGCTGACGTGAGAGAGAGCCGCTCCAGGCTCTGGAAGAATCCTGGCAATAATGTCGGGATCCACCTAGATACCTAATTGGCAGCTGGGTCAGCCTCTCAGCACATCTCTGAGAGCCTGAGCCAGCCTCACCTGCCCCCTTGCCAGCCCGACGCTACAATGAGGCCAGAATCTCCTGAAATGTGTTGGCTATGTTTTATGCCATACACTAATAAAGTTATCATTATTTCTCAAATAGCTGGAGTTTTTAAGAAATTCTGTTAAAGTGTTACTAAACCCCGGACCCTGCATTCACTATATCTGGTCTCCCACCGTACACAGAACATGAAAATGCAATTATTTTAGTAAATATAAACTGCAAAATACCTTTTCTCATCAGCAGTTAGAGCAGTTCTGTGACTTCTATCAGTGTTCAGCCGAGCACTGGCTAAAGCTTGTAGGAGTTATCATTCTGCTGTAGGAGGATGCAGAACCCCTGACCTCTGTCTGGACAGTGCTGATTGGCCCTGTGTTGATCACATGCACTCTGTGAAGGACAAAAAAAAAAACCTCTCTAGCAATACATATCACACTGAGCATGTGCAGAGTTTCTAAACACAATATGCCTTATAAGAGGGGGACACTGGAAGAAGGGGAGGATCAGAGAATTCAGGATCAAACAGCCTTTTTACACATGCAGAGGATTAACCCCTTAGATTTCACAGTGAGTAAAACAAGCATGCTTCACTGTATATACTGACTGATTTTACTGTTGCGGGTTTAGTAACACTTTAATGGACAGTGCACCTCAACCACCTCTACATTCTTCACATACTTGAAGGGGCCCACATTTCCAGGATCCTCCATGAGTAAAGCCACCACAAACCCAATTACTACTGACAAGGTCTAGTGCTACCTCCCCCATACGCTACAAAGTTCCCAAACCATTGTCAGTGTTATTAGTGGTAATGAGTCTACATCTCAGTGTCCATCAGGAGGGTATCCTAAGACAACCTTTAGGTGAAAAGGACAAAATTTCTGCCTGTCTGAAAAGGCCTACATAGGAATGAAGGCCTGCTTTAAGCATAGCCTGGCAAGGGTGTGAAGAGAAGCAAAAAGCCACACCTGCTAATTGGAAATATGAAATATTAAGTTCTAACATTAAGGCCCTATTCACGCTGTCACTGTCAAACCTGTGTTCATATGTATTTAGAGTAGAGATTCTCAACCTTTTTTCAGTCACGGAAATGCAAAACCTTGAGACAGCCTCGTCTAAAATGTAAAAAACCTGCATGTTACTTACCATCAAGGGAATGCCTGGGATGATGCGCACAACTGCCTTGATAAAATTAACTAGGTGCTATACCAAACCAGTTCTCCCTGGGACACTCTACCAGGCCTCCTGTCTGGGATTGGTCAGACCTCCATGCATATGCAGATCAGCTGCTCCTGGCCTCCACCCAATGACTTCTAGAAACCTCTCCAAGCTTCTAGAGCAAGGGGGAGGTACCAGAGGACTGACCTCCAGCCTGACCTGAAGTAAACTCACTAACTCACACCCAGGTTTCTAACAAGCCTCTAACTACACTTACAAACTATGTACACAAGAGGGCACTATAACAGTACATAAATAGTCCTCTTGAAAAGACAGTTAGATGTAAGTCACAACCATAAAGAAAGGAGGGACCATGTTGGAGTTTTATTTTTCCACATAAATCATTTTTATTGTAATGCACTAGGTTGGTGCGCCTTTTCCTTTTGTATTTGTTTCAGCTATATGGTCTGCTATCTCCACTATCTATTCTCTGCAGACAAGGGTGGCTCCATAGAATGCTGCAAGGAAAAGGAGTCACTCTGAAACAGGAAACCTGGGGGAAGAGCCATGGCACCAACTTAAACTGGTGGTAAACTCTTACATAAACCCACTGAAGTGACTAGATTCAGGTAATACAGAGAGATGAAAATCATCCTACATAGGCTTTACCTATTTATCTGAAGCCCTCTCTCCACTATAGCCTTCTGAAACACACAGATCAAAGGATTTTTCTCAGCTACAGCAAGCAAGGGGTAGGGATCTGATGTCACACATTACACAACTGTCAGAGCCTGGGATAGAACCTTGGCCTTCTGCAGTGAGAGGCAATGTTTCTTCTCACTGAGCCACCTGGAATGCTGGACTGCTCCCTTGACAATTCTTTGAATGATCCTGCCTTGGCCCTGTTTGTCTTGAACCTTGAACTCCTTGCTCCTCCCATGAACTTCCTATAAAAGCCATGTCCATGCACTTCATCCTTGCCAGATTATTGTGCCTTCCCAGCCAATATCCTGCTCATCGTTCCTGCTGCTGGCTACATCTTCGTTACCGACCTTTGGCTTGCTACTGACTACGATTTTGCCTCATCCTATCTACTACCATTTGTGACTGACCCTTGGCTTGTGACTGACTCTGCTTCCGTTTGATCCCCAAACTGTTTGATCCGCTATTGGCTTCCAGCTTGCTCATTCCCTGGTGGGGGGATCCTGAGATCTGCGACCTGGTATTAACACGCAGCCCAATCCACTTCCACCATTAGGAGCTCTGGTGAAAACTGGTTAATACTTAGACCCCGCACCTCAGGTGAGCCTGCGTCATTCCCAGGGGGACCCGCTGGTGTACCTATCCTGCTGGTTTCAGGTAAGCCTTACACTGCTGTAGCAACTGGTCTCTGCACCTGACCCAGACCGTGACAACAGCATAGAGAACAAACAAGATCTCTGTCCCTACACTAGCCACTCACAGACTGCATGCCAAAACACAGAGGCAGAGACTTAAATAGACCTTGCTGATCCAAGATGGCCACCAAGGGTCAAATGGCCACAGTGCAGCCAACTGGAACACTGTTCCATTAACCCAGGAAACCATAGAAAAACAGTTTTCCCCCCCAGACTTCCTCTCCTGGCTGTAGCACTACTTGAGTCGAGTACCACCAACAGTGGAGAAAACAGACTGCCCCTGTCTACAAGCCCAGAGCCGGGGTCAACTGCTCAGTACATAAAATTGCATGCTCTGGTGGTCAGATTGTGATCTTACTTCTACATACTTCATTACGGTGCACTTATGCCCAGACTATGGACACAAAATAATGTATATAGTCTTAACAAGCAGAAAAAGAGCTTTACCACAATTATCCACTAAACTCTATCTACAGGCACTGTGAAGAAATTAATACTCAAAGTCACAAAATGGTTCTGAAGTCTGGTTTCAGTGAATTTCTAAATTGCAAAGCTGCCGAGCTCCAAAAAGTGATCCGAGTTCAGATCCTATTACAGAGGTGTTTAACAAGCAGTAAGGAGGTATTATGATGCATCCTCGCCACTTGTTTTTACCCTTTAAATACTGCACCAGTGCACCACAGGGATGTTTGTGGGATGCCCCTCTTTCCTTGAATGGATTGTTTGGCAGCAATATAACGCACCATATGAGACAGGAAAGATAGATTTTGCCATGGGCGCAAAGTGAAGTAGCATGACTGCGCCATGCGACCACTCCTGACCACTGCCTTTTCAGCTTAAGGGAGCAGGCGCTAAGAATTTGGCTCAACCACATGTGTTTAATGACCTCCTAACCACAAGTCTAAACAAACCCTAACCGCTCACAGCACCAACTATTTGTTTCCTTTAGAAGACCAGCAAGTTGCAAAGTCTCTGGTGTCAGAGAGAACAAAAAGTGGAGAGATGTGATTTTACTACCTCTGTTTGAAGATTATTTTCTCCACAGTGCCTGCAACTACAGAGGTCAGAGAGGACTTGTATTAAATCTATTTTATTTCTTGTTAGAAATATGTAAACAATTTGTTGTTTGTAGTCTAAGCATAGATGCAATTTAACTAGAAGCAGCTAAAAAGTGTTGATTACTCAGCATGAATTAAAACGGAGATCTTTACATCATTTCAATCTACTCTGCCAATGCTGTGAGATCGTATGTGTGACAAATTTGCTTATGTTGCTGCAAATTAAGGGTTATTATATCTTAAATTGGTCTATACCATCCATTCCTCCCTTCTTCCCCACATCATCCTATCCGGATGAACAAGTCCTCAGGTGCCTGAAGCCCCAGCTTAATCATCATGGATAAGATGGACATCTCAGGGTTATCAAGATCCAAATCACAGCTCTCCTCATGGGGGGCTCATCCCTGACCATGGGCTGCGGTGGAGCCAATGATTGGAATGCACACAAGACAGCTCATTAAGGATTTCATTAAGATGCTAATGTTTAGCGCTTCCTGGAAAAATGAGATTTTAGCTGTTCAATTATGTAATTAGAGTCATGGAATGAAGGAAAGAATTGCAAAGCAATTGTCTAATGGGAGAAACACAAACAGCTCACAATAACACTGCAAGCAAAACGTGTGAATTCCCCAGGCCCCAGAGACTCAAAGCTGTTACTATGTCTTAACTCTTGTTCAAAGCGTTATCTAATGTATGTTAACTCAGTTCTACAGATGCCATGTCTCCAAATGACATACAACAACATCAAAACTTTTTTTCAAGTATTTGCTGCCATATAAATAATTAAACACACAATATATTTTTTTTAAAATAATAAAGCGTGATGGTTATTGTTCAAATAATACTAAGCACTCATTTTTAGGGCAATGAAAGTTTCAAGACAGCAATATCCAAATTATGTGGACACCAGTCACCTGCCCAACCTCAATCTCATAGGAATCAATCCTATATCTTGTGATTTGACCAACTAGGGCTACACCATGGATTTGTGACTGTTCAACTAAAATCATATGCCACTAAATCACATTTAACAAAACAGTAATTGATCAAATGATCAGACATAGAGGGACTGTAGGGAATGTAACTTGCAGTGTACTTAAGAGGTGCAAAGCTAGGACTAATAATGCAAAACAGGTTCTGGATGTCGAAGAGCATGCATACAATGCAGAAGAATACAAAACAGATTATAGAATGACATAAACATGGACTCTTCAAGGTCTATGTGGCTCAATCAGGGTAACATGTTGCTGCATAGCAAAGTCTTTTAAAAGGGATAATCTTGTCTCTGTTCAAGTCCAAACTTGGAAACCAGCTGTCATTCCTAGTCTAGTTACCGGGGGGGGGGGGGGGGTGTGTGTAATTCCCTGCCCTGGTCTAGTTACCCGGGGGTGGAAGATTCCCTGCCCTTGGCTAGTTACCCGGGGGTGGGAGATTCCCTGCCCTGGTCTAGTTATCCGGGGGTGGGGGATTCCCTGCCCTGGTCTAGTTACCCGGGGGGTGGGGGATTCCCTGCCCTGGTCTAGTTACCCGGGGGTGGGGGATTCCCTGCCTTGGTCTAGTTACCCGGGGGTGGGGGATTCCCTGCCCTGGTCTAGTTACCCGGGGGTGGGGGATTCCCTGCCTTGGTCTAGTTATCCGGGGGTGGGGGATTCCCTGCCCTGGTCTAGTTACCCGGGGGTGGGGGATTCCCTGCCCTGGTCTAGCTACCCGGGGTGGGGGATTCCCTGCCCTGGTGTAGCTACCTGGGGGTGGGGGATTCCCTGCCCTGGTGTAGCTACCTGGGGGCGGGAGACTCCTTGCCCTGCAGCTGACATTTTAAAGGATAGCTCTGGTAACAAAGGCAAACAGCTAGAGAAATCCAAGGCTTGAGGACACGGGGGGGCACTCCACTGTTACTGGCGTACTCTGGTAGTAGTTTCAGAGGTGTTCCTCACAGTAGCTTCCTGAGAAGCTGCTCTCACGCTGGCTCTGACAGTGGTAGGCCTCTCACCTGGCTACAGATCATGAACCCAGCTACAGCAGGTGTTGCCTCTCAAATCCTGAGGGAGGGAAGTAGAGAATCTTATCTTCCCTGGGCATGTCCAAGAACCCAGAGAGCTGTGGGTAAGGGAGGTAAACGGCTTTGTGTCTGCATCTGTGCCTGGTGAATAAATAGGTACTCCGCAACACTTTAAAGCAGACCTTTCCCACCTAACACTAAAAATGTCTGATGTTGACATCTCTACATGGGTTTACATATACTATTAGGCCTCCTTCATATGGGTGATTAGGGCCATACAACAGATTCCTGTGGCAAGCATCATAGGTGTATATGAGCAGCTGCAGTTGCTTAGCCTGTACAAAGCAATAACAGGCTGAGAGGAGCTGTCGCTGTTCACAAATACCTACACATCCAGTGGATAACCGCGGTTAGGGACAAATGCCGCTCCAAGCTATGGATGGAAGGAAAAGGATCACCCCACCGGCAAGTGAGAAGAGGGGAGCATGAATCAAAGTGATTCCAGTGTCAGCCAATACAAGTGAAGGGATGGATGCTGCTCAACCGACCCCAGAAGTCCAATGTCGAGGGATGGCCTCAGCTGCCGTACTGGCCATGCCCTCCGATGCGTTTCACCCCGCTCACCGGGCTTGGTCATAGGTAGGTCACTGCTTGATGTGCAGATACATGAGTATAATGCAACTCCTGTCAGTCTATTATTGCTTTTTACAAGCTGAGTGGCCGTAGCTGTTTGCATATACTTGTGATCCCACTTGTAAGAATTCCTATTCACCTGTGTGAAGGAGGCCTAAATCTGTGAAAATGTTTATAGAGCTTTAAAGTGGTTGTAAAGACTGAACCTTCTGTGTTCTGTTCTCCCCCCACAGCCCCCGTAATGCTCAGCTGTCCTGGGTTTCTCTCTCCTCATTAGCTGAGACACAGCAGCAGGAGCCATTGACTCTCAGTGGGGGAGGCAAGGCTGAGCTGCGGCTCTGTTTTTCCTATGGACGCATAGAGCGGAGCTCGGGAGCAAGCCTGCACCAATGCCCATATAGCAAGTGGCTTGCTACTTTGGGTATTGGCCAGGGGGGGGAGGAGCCAGGAGCGCCAGCGTGGGACCCGAGAAGAAGAAAACCATTGCACAGAGCAGGTAAGTATGTCTTGTTTGTTTTTTTAAACAAAGCTTAATATCACTTTAATCCTTCCCTTGAGATCACATCTCGCACTATATGTTTTATTTACTTTCTTTTTTTCTTTTTTTTTCCTCCCATTTCCATTACCATACATTTTTCAGGTGTTATTTCACAATTTTTTTTATTCTCCGGTCCGCCTCCTTTTAGCCTCCAGGCACCTCCTTGAATCCTTTTTTTGGAAGTGGTGTATGGAAGCAATAGAGGTATGAACAACAGGGCATCGGGAAGGAAGGTTCACTTATTAAAAACATCTACAGATGAGTGATCATAAGAAACAGACATTTTCTGAGTGTTGTAAAATGACTTTATTGAATATTTTTTACACAGCTTGTTTTGTTGCAATACATTTTCTGTCTGTTTGATTGTTCTCAAATTACACACGCTGATTGTATGATATGAGTATTGAACTTTTCTTTGTAGTTTAAAATACCATATTGTAACGCAGATGTCTTGTCACCTGTTCTCTTCTGTCAAAAATAAAAAAAAAATAACAGTTAAAGAAACACTTCTAATCTACATTTCCCCTGTCGCCACCAGTGATCTTCTGCTACAATTCAACCTTCCCCTGTGTATGCAGCTGTTCCTTATACTTAGCATGTCATAGCTGAATAGTATGAGTCAAAAGAAATAATCTTCCATGGTGCCTTGGGATTTGGACTGTAAACCGCACCAGCCAACCGCTCATTGTGTGTAATCCGCTGTTGTCGATTCCTTGGTTGTGTGCTGTGTAAATGTCCTTCTGAACTATACATGGTTGACTAATTTATGTTAGAAATTAAAAATAGGGAATAACAATCTCAGCAAGACTCTTCTACCAAACACAGACAACCATGTGAAAGAATAAGAAGAAGTAGCAAACACTCTGTCCTATATATTTGTAATGTGTCAAAGCATTTTACTTAATGTACCAGCTCGGGAATTTCATTAAAGTGTTACTAAGCCCAGGACCTTGCATTCACTATATCTGGTCTCCCACAGTACACACAACATGGAAATGCAATTATTTTAGTAAATATAAACTGCTAAATACCTTTTCTCATCAGAAGTTAGAGCAGTCTTGTGACTTCTATCAGTGTCCAGCCCAGCACTAGCTAAAGCTTGTAGGAGGAGTTTTCTTTCTGCTCTAGGAGGATGCAGAACCCCTGACCTCTGTCTGGACAGTGCTGATTGGCCCTGTGCTGATCACATGCACTCTCCCAAGAAAAAAAGAAACCTCTCTAGCAATACACACTAAACTGAGCATGTGCAAAATGCCTACCGTTCAGTCTGTCTTATCAAGAGATAAGAGGTGGTCGCTTAAACAAGGGGAGGAACAGAGCAATCAGGATCAGATGGCCTTTTTACACAGTGCAAAGGAATAACCTCTTAGGTTCTACAGTGAGTATAACAAGCATGCTTTACTGCAAATACAGACTGATTTTACTGTTGTGGGTTTAGTATCACTTTCATTCTTGTTTAGACTTGCAGTTGGAAATGTGCCATGTTTTTAGCCGCACACTCCCCCCAACTTAAACTGCAAAGGTAGCAGACAGGGATGTTCACATTCTACAACCGAGATGCTTTGCTTTTGCAAAAATGATCGCTCCTGTTGCATTCAGCAGGCAGTACCATCTGTACGTAACCCATTCAGGCAAATGTGGATACCCCACAAATGCTCTGCAACTGCAACCATTGTCGAGTGTTGGTGCACCATTTCGAGGGATAAATCAGGTGGGGAGGAGGCATCATATCTCATTCTCATCACCTGTTAAACACCTCTGATTGTTTTTCAGAGGCATGGCAGTTTAGATGCAAGTTTTACACCGCGGTCACACCAATCCCGACAAAATTGTGTGACTTACAGTGAAGTAGCACAATTTCAAAGTCGGATGTCATGCCTATTTGAGGTGCGATTTGCAAGACATCTGACACAGTTGTCTATGCAAATCACACCAAAAGTAGTGCATGTACTACTTTAGAAATCGGTACAGCTCCCACCAAGTCGGAACCGCACCAATATGACCAATGTAATTTCAGACAATAGGGTGCGACTTGACATGGGATTTGCAAGTCGCATGGCATGCAAATTGCATGCCGACTCGCACCCAGTGTGACCAGGATCTTAACCTAGCCTTAAAAAAATGCTTATACATAGTCTTTATTTTTCATTTGTAATGATCAGGACTTGAGATTAAAAGTTTTTGAAGAAATGTTTTTTTTCTTTTAGTATTCTTAAACTGATATTTTGCATATGAATATTGTATTTTCTTTTTCATGTGCAGCCAGCATGTATACAGTAGCTCTCGACTCCCTCTCACATGTTTTAAAAACTTTCTTAGCTCCTACATTGAAAAAAAAAAAACATTGTTTACAAAGCTCAATAGCTCAAGCTTAAGACCTCATGCACACATGTGCATGATACCGTATAATGTAACTTGCAGATCAAGCCCAGGACACACACCTCCCAAGTACAATTGACCATATGGCTGTTTGAGGCTGCATATAATATACATATATGTCCAAGCTCAGTATCACAAAATTGAGAAATCACTTGATTTAAATAGCTGCTGGCAAAAAGTGTCTATATACCAAAAACACAAATATAATACATAAATACATTTTGCAGAACTAAAAAAAATATAAATCACAAAACACCTGTGAAAATTATATATTTAAAGGTGAGATAAAGTATAAAAAGCCCCAATATAATCTCTTCTTTGGTGACGTATCTCAAATGTTCAGCACATAGTGATTTGAATTGTGCTGAACCTCCACCTTAGGTAAGTATGCACACTCACCAAACTGTCTATACATATAGAACAGCAAAACACTCTTAATCCCAAATTGAGGCTTCCTCACAGGAATTTGATGTTCAATTCAACCCAATCTCTCGCCATTACTTTCATAGCCCATTCAATCTGCGAAAAGACCACCTTTCATTGAGTTGCTTGAACAGTAATGCTATAAATCATAATCACTTTGAAGATGGTGATTAATGGACAAGAAAACATGAAGTCGGTTATTTTCCCTTGCTGTAATTTATGGATTTGCATGCAGTGCACCACCTTTGTCTCTAATGAATGGAGCTCCAGCAGAGAGAAGCCATGTATTCCCAGAGATCAGGAATGTAGAAATGACTTAATCCTGCTCACGTGCCTTGGTGAACAACATTGGACACTGATAGCCTTCATCTAGGGATGTACGGCATTATGTCTGTGCAGGCATAAACCTGTGTACAGCTGCATACTGCTATTCATTACTATGGTTGTCTACAGAAGGCAGTTGTGTATCCTACATGTGGAAATGTACTAGTCCAGCGAGGTGGAACTGGGCAAAACTGACAACACTGATGAGATTTTAGTGTAGCAGTGGAAGTGTTGTCAGTTTGCAATTTCGATTGTATGCCAAAATGTACTCATGTGCAGGAGCCCTAAAGTACATGCCTGGACAAAATTAAATAAAAAAAAAATCATATTTAGGACATCTATCCAATATATGCACAATTTCCATATTTTGATTCTTTAAAAATGCTCCAAGTACCTGTTTTTCCTGTCAGAAATCCAGTAATCTCTTTAATTCTTGTTGAAAGCTGACAAGGATACCTCTGCTGCACTGGAATCCCAGGCAGTGTTGCCAGCCCTGCCTAATTTCTCTTTTGCTGGATTACAGAACAGCTCCCCCTCTTATCTTCTAGAAAAAGGAACAGGGGAGTGTTCTCTAGGGGGGTGGAACTGGGCAGAACTGACAACACTAATGAGATTTTAGTGTAGCAGTGGAAGTGTTGTCAATTTGCTACCAGATATAAGGAGATCACTGGATATTTATGCAGAAACAACAGATATCTTTCTGTTTTTGCAGCATTTTTAAAGAGACAAAATATGGGGAAGTGTGCATGCATTGACACGATTGCTGACAGGCTCTTAATGCTGTCCCTCCCCTCTTCCAGTTTGAATTCCTGTGTGCAAGGGATAACAAGAAGCTAAAATAAATCCAGATTCAAGTACTTATCATAGTATTGATGCATCACCACTGCCCTGGGCTGGTTAGATTCTGTTTTTGGCTCTGCTGTACCTAGCTGGACAGCAATTAATTTTCTAGGTCTGGTCAGGTCTCCTTAAGCCTTATGGTTGATTGCTCCTGTATGCCTCTGGAAAAAGCTTCCAAAATTAGAGTAGGAGAGTTAGCCACTGGGTTATAAATATTCAGTTGACCTCAGCCAATCCCTGGGAGGAAGGTGTGGATGGGGATAAGATAAATGTTTAGTAGGATCTGTTTAGAACTCTCTCTCCTGGAGGCTTCTCCCCTGGGAGGCAGCTTGTGTTACTGAAGAGCTGTTGCTTGACGGAGGGCCTGAAGGAGCAGAGCCATGGAGGGCAAGGTAGTGGAGTCTACTGAGGAGGAGCAGGTGGTCAACTGTGTCAAAGGCAGCAGAAAGGTCTAAGAGTATGAGTATGGAGTACTGGCTGTTGGTTTTAGCAGTCAGTAGGTTATTGGTGAGTTTTGAAAGGGTAGTTTCAGTGGAATGTTGTGGGCGGACGCGCTGGACGCTGGACTATAGGGGATCAAGAAAGTTGTTGTCGATGAGGTAGCAACTCATACGCTTGTGGACAAGGTATTCAAGAAGCTTGGAGGCAAATTGTAGTACGGATATTCAAACAGGTGGGGTCCAGTGAGGGCTTTTTAAGTATAGGGGTGACCAGTGCATGTTTGAGCCGAAAGGGAAAGGTGCCGGAAGAAAAGAAGAGGCTGAAGGTGTGGGTTAGAGAGTTTAGGATGGAGCAGGAAGGTGGTTGCAGTAATTATGAGGGGACAGGGTCCAGGGGAGAGGTGGTGAGATGGGCAGCGGAAAGGAGTTTGGCAACTTCCTTGGTGGTTACAGGGTTGAAGGAGAAAAGTGTTGAGTGTGGTGTTGGACTTGGTGTATTGGTTGGTGGGGAAAGCTGGACGCTGACTATCTCATCACAAACTGTGTCGATTTTGTTTTTTAAATGATTGGCAATCACCTGGGTGGTAAGTAGGTTGGTGGCTGGAGGTAGTGGGGGGGGGGGGACAAAGTAAGGAATTAAGGGTTTGGATGAGAAGGTTTTGATGAGAGTGGTGTAGTAGGTTTGTTTAGCAGTGTAGAGGCAGGAGTTGTATTTGAGGAGGACAGATTTGTAGAGGGTGAAGGCTTGCAGGGTTTTAGTTTTACATCATGCTCTCTCAAGAGCACGGCTGTGTTTCTGGAGACTTCTGGTGTCATCTGTTTGCCAGGGTTGCAGCAGGTGAGGATTGGTTCTGCATATAGAGAGGGGAGCAAGTGTGTCCAAGGTGGATGACAGTGTGATGTTGTAGGCAGAAGTGGCCAGGTCTTGCCAGGACAGCGGTGCGATTTTATCATAAAGGCAGTCAGTAGCAGGATGAAGAAGGGAAGGGTTGAGCTGGCGAAGGTTCCTTTGGGTAACTGCAGGTTGGAAACATGGGAGGTAGGAAAAACGGAGAGTGTGAAACTGATAAGGCTGTAATCAAAGAGAGGAAATGGGATGTTGGAGAGGTTTCAGGGAGTGCAGACGTGGATGAATAGGAGGTCGAGGGTGTTGCCATTGGAGTGAGTGGTGCTTTGTGTCCATTGTATTAGGTTAAAAGAGGAGGTTAAGTTGAGTATTTGAGAAGTGGCTGAGGTGTTAACATTGACAGGAATGTTAAAGTCACCGAGGATGATGGCGGGCACTTCAAAGGAGAGAAAATAGGGTAGCCATTGGGAGAAATCATCGATAAAGCATGAAACAGCATGAAACTCAAAGTTAGTCATAACTTTAGGCCAAAATGTATTCTGCTACATGTCTTTGGTAAAAAAAAAAGTTATAGCATCTACAAACTGTGGTATATTTATTGCAATTTACGCAGCTTTTACTTTCTGACTGCCTATCACATTTCTTGAGGTGCTAAAATGCCAGGGCAGTACAAAGACCCCCCAAATGACCCCTTTTTGGAAAGCAGACACCCCACGGATTTTGCAGAGAGGCATGTTGAGTCCAAGGAACATTTTATTTTTTGCCACAAATATTTCGTTAAAGACTTTTTTTTTTTTACACAAAGTTGTCACTTTAATGATATATTGCTCATGCATGCCATGGGTATATGTGGAATAACACCCCAAAAATACATTCTTCTACTTCTCCCGAGTATAAGGATACCACATGTGAGAGAATTTTTGGCAGCCTAGCTACATACAGGCCCCCACAATCCAATGGC